CCAACATCAGCTGACCAGCTGCTCCTCAGGGCCCTGAAACTAAGGCTGAAGGCAGGGATCGTGTTTCTGTTGGTAAATTTCCTTTAAAGCCCTTTTCTTTGATGTTTATCACTCTGTAAGAGTTTATGCCGTTTTAGGACCCCCCAGGTCCTACTGCCTTCACCTTCTTCATTCTTTTCAGAACTTTCCAGACTTCACCCTCACTAACCTTTCCCACTTCCTGGTCCATAGTTTCTATGACCTCTACTCTTCTTTCTGTTTCATTCTCTTCATTCATTAGCTCCTCAAAGTACTCCTTCCATCTTCCCATCACACTCTCCTCACTTGATAAAACATTACCATTCCTATCTTTAACAAGCCTAACCTGCTGCACATCCTTTCCAGCCTGATCCCTCTGTTTTGCCAATCGGTACAAGTCCTTCTCTCCCTCTTTAGTGTCCAGTCTCCCATACAACTCATCATACACCTTCTGCTTTGTCTTAGCTACCTCCCTGTTTGCTCTACGTCCCATCTCCTTATATTCCTGTCTCCTCTCTTCAGTCCTCTCTGTCATATTTCTTCTTGGCTAACCTCTTTCTTTGAACATCTTCCTGCACTTCACTATTCCACCATCAGGTTTCCTGATCATCCATTCTCTGTCCAGATGACACACCAAGTACCTTCCTACCTGTCTCTCTAATTACTGTTGCTGTAGTAGTCCAGTCATCTGGAAGCTCTTTCTTACCACCCAGAGCCTTTAACAGCTCCTCTCTGAATTTCTCACAACATTCTTCCTTCTTCATCTTCCACCATTTGGTCTTCTTCCCTGATTTGACTCTTTTTCTCTTCTTCACAACAACAGTCATTCTACACACAACCATCCAGATCTTTACAAAATGTATCTTTCTCCTCCACATCACATCCAACCTGTGGAGCATAACCACTGACGACATTTAGCATCAGACCTTCTACCTTCAGACACATCACCCTATCTGACACTCTCTTCACCTCTACTACATTCTCTGCCAACTCCTCCTTCAGGACCACCCCTACTCCATTTCTCTTTCTATCCACACCATGGTAAAACAGTTTGAACCTGCTCCAATGCTGCGAGCCTTGCTGCCCTTCCACTTGGTCTCTTGGACACATAAAACATCTACCTTCCTTCTCAGCATCATGTCAGCCAACTCTCTACCTTTGCCTGTCATTTTCCCCACATTTAGAGTTGTAACCCTCAGTCCTACATTCTTGACGTTCCTCTTCTCCCTCTGTCTCCTGACACGTTTCCCTCCTCGTGGTCTTCAAATAACTGTAACATAATTTCCACCGGCACCCTGTTTGTCAACAGCACCGGTGGTGGCGCTCGTTGTTAACCCGGGCCTCGATCAATCAGGTATGGTTTCATTGTGATGAACTTGCATTATAGTTGAAAAACACAGAGATAAATTAAAATGATGACAGCTTCTTTTACTTCAACTCATTTACATATTTTTATTCCTAGTAAAGAGTTCACAGTAACATATAAACAAATAAAAATCATTAATCCCAGGCTGCTGCTCAGCTGTTAGCATGGCTGCTAACACAGTTAGCGTGTTTGCTGATTAGCTGTTAGCATGGCTGCTAACACAGTTAGCGTGCTTGCTGATTAGCTGTTAGCATGGCTGCTAACACAGTTAGCGTGTTTGCTGCTCAGCTGTTAGCGTGGCTGCTAACACAGTTAGCGTGTTTGCTGCTCAGCTGTTAGCATGGCTGCTAACACAGTTAGCGTGTTTGCTGCTCAGCTGTTAGCATGGCTGCTAACACAGCGTGTTTGCTGATTAGCTGTTAGCATGGCTGCTAACACAGTTAGCGTGTTTGCTGATTAGCTGTTTGCATGGCTGCTAACACAGTTAGCGTGTTTGCTGAGTAGCTGTTAGCATGGCTGCTAACACAGTTAGCGTGTTTGCTGCTCAGCTGTTAGCGTGGCTGCTAACACAGTTAGCGTGTTTGCTGATTAGCTGTTAGCATGGCTGCTAACACAGCATCATGACAAACATTTGGCTCGTGGACATATTTGTGAAGTTTTTATTAAAGACAGTTTTGTTCCGGTAACTTCGGCTCTCACAGACGGACACGAGTGAAAACACGAATTTGTAAAACGTTTCCACGGCAGGAAGCTACGGGGACTCAGCAGGGTCATTTTAAGTCCCGTAGGTTCTGCTAAAGCTGCACTAACACCATCTGTTATTGTTCAGAACCTTCCACGTGTGCATCTAAACCCGGTTCTGACCCGCAGCCTGGACTCTGCTGCTCCTCAGGGAACCGGACCGGCTCAATGAGCCGTTCAGAACTTTGCAGAGAAACCTTCAACTCAAAGGTAGAAGCAGATTGTCTCTCTGGTTCTGGTTCTGGTTCTGTCACGGTGCTGTTTGTTGTGATGGAGCCGGGCCACTGGGGGTCAGCGGCACCATGCGCTTGGGCCTCTGACTCTGTGTGTGTTAGCAAAATATCTCCTGAAGCTCCAGGTGGATTTGAATGAAATCTTCAGGAAGTGATTCGTGTTCATCTTTGAATTCAGCCTGATTCAAGATGGCCGCCACAGCCACCTGGTGTTGGAAACACAAAGACAGATGTAACTCCGTGACGTTCAGCTGAAATCTGGAGTGGTAGTAGCTGAGAGTGATCCCTCACAGATGCTTGTTTCTAAGAGAACATCTAGTTGTTTGTTTGTTTGTCAATAAAAACAATCAGAAAAGAATGTGGAGGCAAAATGCAGATTGATTTTAAATTGTGGCGTTAACGTCGTATTTGAACGTGACGTCAGGAGTTAGTGGGTCGGAACCAGAGGAGCAGAACATCAGGATGTTTTCTCTGTTCAGGTGAAAGCTCGTCTCAGGTGCGGTTCTGTCCTGTCCTGCAGGTCGGCTCTACGCCATGCAGACGGGCATGAAGCTGGACAGCAAGACCCCCGACTGCCGCAAGTTCCTGGTCAAACTCATGGACCAGCTGGAGTCGGTAAGTCCTGTTCCCGTCTGAGAAGAACCCGCGGGCGCCGAGTGGTCCGAGGAGGCTGGTTCGGTAAAGTACGCGCCATTTTGTCATCAGGAGCCGCTTCCTGATGGGCCTCAGATGGAGACACGACCCGTCTCCTCAGTGGTTCTGGTTCTGAACCTCTGTCCTCATATGAAGCACGATCAGTGTTAGGAACGTTGCCACGTTCATGATTTATTGTCTTCTTTTGCATTTTAATCTGACTCGTAGTCCAGAACCAGGCTCACAACCAGACCGGGCCGGGCTCGGAACGAGACCGAGCCGGGCTCAGACCGGGCCGAGCTCGGAACCAGACTGAGCCGGGCTCAGAACCAGACCGAGCCAGGCTCAGACCGGGCCGAGCTCGGAACCAGACCAAGCCGGGCTCAGAACCAGACCGGGCCGAGCTCGGAACCAGACCGAGCCGGGCTCAGAACCAGACCGAGCCGGGCTCAGAACCAGATCGGTCCGAGCTCGGAACCAGACCGAGCCGGGCTCAGACCGGGCCGAGCTCGAAACCAGACTGAGCCGGGCTCTGAACCAGACCGAGCCGGGCTCAGACCGGGCCGAGCTCGGAACCAGACCGAGCCGGGCTCAGAACCAGACCGGGCCGGGCTCAGAACCAGACCGAGCCGGGCTCAGACCGGGCCGAGCTCGGAACCAGACTGAGCCGGGCTCAGAACCAGACCGGGCCGAGCTCGGAACCAGACCGAGCCAGGCTCAGAACCAGACCGAGCCGGGCTCAGAACCAGACCGAGCCGAGCTCAGAACCAGACCGAGCCGGGCTCAGAACCAGACCGGGCCTCTGTGGGTTTTGTTTTGTGGGTCAAGTGTAAAAGTTGGTCTTGACGAGAAGAACCGAGCTGTTGTGTTCTGTTCCTCTCTTAATTTTTCTTGCTCTTCGTCTCTCCTTCATGAGCTTCAGGTTCTGTTGAGCTGAAAACTTCCAGCACCGTCGAGACAAGCGATCCGTTCTTTACTAACGGAGACGTGAGACGAGCTGCAGTCCCTCAGAGACGTCCGAGTTCTTCATTAAAATCCACACCTGCAGGGTTTCCCCTGGAGGCGGTTCTCCAGAACCTCTGTGGGTCTGAGTAACGTCTCTGAGGAGGCCATCAGCTGGTCCACCTGAAACCTCTCATGTCCACCTGTGACTACAATCAAAGGGTTAAAATAAGTTCTGAGGTTCTGATTTGTTCTGATCAGGAAAGTCCCAGAACTTTGAGCACGTCGTCTGTAAACCGTTCATCCACAGCTGCTGCTTAAAGCTCTATCAGACAAAGAAGAAGCCAGATGTGAAGACCATCCAGAACCGCTGCTGTCTTCTCTGGACCAGAGCCCGTTTCAAGTGGACTGAGGTGAAGTCCAGAACTTTCTGGGTCAGACTGGTCCAAATCTGAGGTTTTGTTTGGAAACTACTGATGCTAGTCCTCAGTACCAAAGAGGGGAGGAGCCATCCAACCTGTTACCAGCCTGCCTCTCTGATGGTATGGGGGTGCATTAATGCCTCTAGCCTCTGGAAAGACTCAATGAATATAGAAAAGTATCTACAGGTTTTAGAACATCTGCTCCATCCAGCAGAGTAGATCCAGAACTGTTGGACAGCTAGAGTCCTCCTTCAGACCCCCAACGGGACAGAATTCCCTCCAAAACCTCCAATATCTGGTCTCCTCACATCCTCCAGAACCTCCATCTGGTCCCCTCAGGTCCTCCAGAACCTCCTTCTGGTCTCCTCAGGTCCTCCAGAATCTCCTTCTGGTCTCCTCAGGTCCTCCACAGTCTCCATCTGGTCCTCCAGAGCCTCCATCTGGTCTCCTCAGGTCCTCCAGAACCTCCTTCTGGTCTCCTCAGGTCATCCAGAACCTCCTTCTGGTCTCCTCAGGTCCTCCAGAACCTCCTTCTGGTCTCCTCTGGTCCTCCAGAACCTCCTTCTGGTCTCCTCAGGTCCTCCAGAACCTCCTTCTGGTCTCCTCAGGTCCTCCACAGCCTCCATCTGGTCCTCCAGAGCCTCCATCTGGTCTCCTCAGGTCCTCCAGAACCTCCTTCTGGTCTCCTCAGGTCCTCCACAGCCTCCATCTGGTCTCCTCAGGTCCTGGAGTTCTCCACATGTAAGAAGAGTGGCCTCCCCTCAGAGGACACAGGAGCAGAACCTCTCCAACCAGGTGCTTGGTGACGTTGGGCTCTAGATGATCAGATGTTTTTGCTTCAGGTTCAAGGTTTCAGCACTTTAATTCCTCTCTGAGTAGAACGTTTGAGGGTCTTCAATCAGGACGTATGTTTACGTTTTCCACATCGACAGAACTTTGTCAGAACTGCTGATCCTCTCTGGTCTAGGAACACCTCGTCCAGGAGGACCTGGACAGTGTCTCTGAGGACCTCGGATGGACGCTGAGATCTGTGGAGTTTTTTCTGTGAAGCGTCAGGAACTTGAAGAGCTGAGGTTCTGTACAGTTTGGAGGTCAGACCCAGAGTCCCAGGAGGACACGCTCCATGTTTGAGGTCTTTGTTTTTCGGACTCCTCCAGGTCTCGCCTGTAACGCAGCTGAGTCAGCAGCTCCGTCCCCGGTGACCCGGCTCGCCTGCTGGACTCATTAGTTCTGTTTTCCACCTCGTGTTCGCCGGCTGGACTCGGAGCTTCTCTCTGGAGGCCGGTGGAAGATAATGAGATGACCGCTGCTTCAGGAACACGTCTTGGATTTCTGTTTCCAGAAGGTTCCTGCAGGCGACGCTCACTGAGGTGAAGACTGGGTCACGTGAAATTTACCAAAAGAACTTGAGCGTGAACTTTCAGGGCGGAGCTTCTGGAACTATTACAAGTTCAGGGCGGAGCTTCTCAAAGTCTTCTCTGCAGGAAGTGGTTCCATCTTCTCAAAACGAAGCAGAGAAACGTCTTTGAGCTGAAGCAGATTGATGGGAGCTGAAGTGAGCAGAAAGAAGCTGAAGCAGAAGAACAGCTGAAGTGTGCAGAAAGAAGCTGAAGCAGAACGACAGCTGAAGTGAGCAGAAAGAAGCTGAAGCAGAACGACAGCTGAAGTGAGCAGAAAAAGCTGAAGCAGAAGAACAGCTGAAGTGTGCAGAAAGAAGCTGAAGCAGAAGAACAGCTGAAGTGAGCAGTAACGGCTCAGTGTTTAAAGGACTTGAATGGAGCTGCTTTCATTTTCAATGATGAAAACAACAACTAAATATTTCACAAAGTAAAACTTGCACAAACACCAGAAGTGTCGGCAGGAATGTCCTGAATGAGCCGAATGTTTTGAGACAGAACCAACTGGAGATCGAGCCGAAAACGTACTGGTTGGGTTTACCCTGTAACTGGAGACTCTGGTCACAAAACAGAACCCCCCATCTCTGAGTCATGTGCCGGCTGAAACAAAAGGAGTGGACCCACCCGGCATTTCCCTGTGGTCCGTCACAGAAATGGGTCAGAGTGACGTCATTAAAATATTAGTTCAGATTTCAGGTCGTTTACCCGAAAATAAAAATCAGAGGGATCACGTGCACCCCCAGGGGTCTCGGGATCACGTGCAACCCCAGGGGTCTCGGGAACCAGGACTTTCAAGGCTTTCATTGACCTTCACTGTTTTTGGCTGCAGTTTATAAAACCCTAATAATAATAATAATAATAATAAATCCAATTTAACACCTTACAGATAAAACAAACAAATTGAATATGTATGAGTTGGTCAGCATCAGGACCCCTCAAGGACAAAAACCAAAAGAGCTGGACCCTGAGGGTCTGACCGTTTGTTGTGCTCAGTTCTTCAGCTGTTCGTTGTTTTTGTTTTTCAGATGAAGGAGGAGCTTAGCGACAACGAGTCCATCACTCAGGAGGTGGTCGGAAACGCCCACATCGAAAACTACGCCCTCAAACTCTTCCTGTACGCCGACAACGAGGACCGAGCGGGACGCTTCCACAAGTAAGACACAAATCAAGCCCGATGCTTATCGCCTGCCACCTGAAGCCCGATGCTTATCGCCCGCCACCTGAAGCCCGATGCTTATCGCCCGCCACATGAAGCCTGATGCTTATCGCCCTCCACCTGAAGCCCGATGCTTATCGCCCTCCACCTGAAGCCCGATGCTTATCGCCCTCCACCTGAAGCC